GCTCACGTGGCAGGTAGTTGAATAAAGTCCATGAATAAGTTAAAAGCGTTAGGACGTTAAAAAGTAAAAAAGACAATCACTGACTCTCGAATATTTACATTTATCGTATTACATAGTATGATATTTTATACGTTATTGTTTAATTTTATATTTTCTACTCACATTAAGTTGAATGAGTGGATGCGAAGAAGACCTCGGAATTTGACTGTCTATTACAAATAAGGAAAGTCAGATCGAAAGTCTGAAACTCACCAAAAACTGTATATGAAGAGAATAAGAAGCAAAAGATTGCTTCTTTCAATGCACTTATTGAACGCTTAGCACTCTGTTCTCTGGCTTGCCAGCAAAGGATATCCATAGCGTAAAGGTACATACATAGGTATGTACTTATGTATATTATACTATTCATCACAAAAAGTGGATAGCCTTTCAATATTTATACATATATATATATATATATATATATATATATATATATATATATATATATATATAATAAAATTCTAACTGAGTCGAATCTGTACATTATTTTTTTTTTGTGAAATCTTATTGAAATAGTCATTGTTATCGATACAGAGACCGAATCTATAGTTTTTAGAATTTTAGTCTGTCTGTCCGTCTGTCTATGACCGCATCACGAAAAAACCACTGAAGGGATTTTGATGAAATTTGGTATGCTGATAGCTGGTTATCCGGGTCAACATATAAGATTGTACTTTTTACTGCGGGAAAATATCTCATCTCTGAGAAATCTATATTAAACATTAATGCAACGTGCTATGCTTATGAGTTATGGCTTGAGAAATGACATAGATTAGGTATTTTTTATTATGAAAATCGTTTTAATGAATTATTTAATAGCATAGATAGATAAACTTGTAATAAGCAGTAAATGTTTCTTCAAAAGGATTACATAAACCTTAGGTTAATGGTGCAAGTGCAAGATGAATCAGTGCGGGTGTCGATGGATACGCGGCGATGACCTGCAGACGGTCGCTCACCTCGACAGCTTGTCTTGGCTTCTTGCTATGATTGCAGTACCCCATGTTGCTATATTCGATAATATTGTAAATAATTTAGACTTTTATATTAAATTTAGACTAATGTAATTAATAACAAGTCTAAATTTAAAATAAAAGTATATCAACTTCAAAATAACTTGAAAGTTTGTTTTTATTTACTTATATGAATATAAATTACGAAAATCTATTTACAATTTGTTAATACATATATCATGTTACATGTAACGTATGTATACAAATTAATACAGTTGAATTGTCCTAATATTATAGAATACTTCCTTTTCCAAGTAGGTCAAAAATAAATGTCCCTCATTTGCTTAGTAAATTCGTGGTTTTGTCATGCGGGGCATATAAAAAAGTCCATATACCAGTATGATAAGATAAAGAATGTAAATAATGTACTCGTAATTATAAAAATTATACGAATGAATACAAAATATTCCACATATTTTATTAAAAGACAAAATGATGAAATCATAGGGAATACCTAAAGGGAGAAAGTTGTGGTCGAATTATGAGTCATAGTAACATTAGATGCTTACAGGAATTATGAAGTTCAATTTAAAGTTATAATCTATATTATAATATTATAAAGAGGTAGTTTGTGACGTTGTAGGGGGTAATCTCTAGATCTACTGAACCGATTTAGATAAAATCTGGGAAGGAGATAGGATACTTTTTATCCCGGAAATCATTCCTTAAGGGGTTGAAAATGAGGATGAAAGTTTGTACGGGGAATCAAGCTAGGGACGAACCCGAGCGAAGCCAGGGTGAGTCGCTAGTTATAGCTATATTATTATCTATTATGTTGCATTGAGAACATTAATATACATTATTAAACTGTAAATAGTTAAAACGTGTTAATTAGTAATAAAAATATTTAAAATACATTTTAGTGCAATATACAGATCAAAAGTAAAAGTAGTAGATATATTAATATTTACTTAGTCATATAACTTTATTGTTTTGTTGCTATAGTAGTAATATATTATTTTGAAATCAAGCAAAATTATATAATAAAAAATAATTAAAAAAATATTTACCATTCATTAAATTTTAGTAATCGTATACATGAATACTTAGCAAACTGTATTAATTAAATAATCTTAACGCATCTTATGCATAGTCAGTTGGTAATCCTATTAAATAAATAAATAATACATAGTTTTGTCAATTCAATTGTTTAAAATGACAGATAAACTCCGAAACGTCATTTAAATTAATTGAATTATTGGCGCTATATTTAATCCCTCTACGACCGCGGACACGCCCGCGTTACAGTTAACAATAGATTTCTTAGAAATTTAATTAATTTCTTAGAAATTTACTTGGAGATGTTAAAAATAGATAAATTTTAATTCACTCCAATGCTTTACTATGGCTACACTGAATAGTTAAATACTGTTTATACAAGAATAGCTCAAAGTATCCACAGGCGATAAAATAATTAGTACCTGTTAGTGTTAGTTCTCAAAACAGCTAGGAGGTAAATCTAATCACGGCCAATAAACAGTACTGCTGTTTTTAGTGCAGTTATAATTTGTTAAACCTCTTTCCAGTCATTTTGTTGGTTTAATAATTCTGTATCATCTACAGTTAGATAATCTAATGAGATTATCATCGATCATGCGAAAGAAAGTCTTACTGGGTGTGTTTGCAAAAAAAAAACGCAGTACCCACCCCTAATGTTATAGATATGATATCCTTGTGTTTTAGAGGACCTTTTATTCTGCCCCTTAGTCTCTCTCAGTTCATGTTAGTTTGGTGTAAAATGGGCCGAATCGCCTGACAACGTGAGTCTGGGAACGCATCACGAGAAAACTACTAGACAGATTTTGATGAAATTTGGTATGATGATGATAATGGGGTTAACATATCGGATACTTTTGACTGCGGGAAAATATCTTGTCTCTGAGAAATCCATTATCTATACTAAACGTTAAAACGTAACTATGGACGAACGTGAGCGGAGCAAGATTGAGTTGCTAGTACAATATAAAACCCTTGTCTACTCTGCTATATTTGAATATACTTAGCAGGTCTATTCAAGATCGGTAACAGATAATCTATACATATAATAAAATTGTAAGTAAGTCGAATCTGTACATTAAATATTTTGTGGAAAATCTAATTGAAATAGACATTATTACCGATACAGAATTCGAATCTATAGTTTTTATAATTTTTGTCTGTCTGTCTGTCTGTCTGTCTGTCATCGCATCACGAGAAAACCACTGGACAGATTTTGATGAAATTTGGTTTGATGATAGCTAGTTATCCGGGTCAACATATAGGATACTTTTTACTGCGGGAAAATATCTCATTTCTGAGAAAAAATACAAAATCTGCAATGTAAGAGTATAATAATATGTAAAACCTACGAATTTAGTTCTTGGTCATCTGAACGCGGGCGGAGCCGCAGGCAATTCTAGTATAATATAATCGTCACTACTCTTGTCCATCCAATATAACGCGACATTATAAACTCGGCGATCATTCAATCATCGTCACCTTAAATTTATAGAATGTAAAATATGAAGGGGCACTTCACAATATGTCTTCTTTTTGGCATTTTACAACCCAGCGAGCATAATATGTATACAGGCTGCCGTTTGCATAACGTCGAATTATGCAATCGGCCTGAGGTAACATATTATACAAAGAATATTCAATATATATCATATATTATTTAAATTCAAAAGCCAAATTGTATACCAGCTCGCATTGCTAGCGGCTCTATCTCGCTTCGCTCGGGTTCGTCCCTAAGTTACATAGGTTCAACGGTTAGTGCAGAATAGATATAGACATTTCCTAAGATTAGCGCGCTCAAACAAATAAACAAACAAACTCTGCCTCTTTATAGCATTAGTACCTATGGAATAAATATCAAAGTATGCACACATAAAAATTGTATATTGAAAATAGTTTAATTAATTTTAGCCAAACATTCTTCTAAAACGTAAAAACACAAGTTAAGATATTATACAAATATGTATAGTGATAATACAAGAGGCACTCTAAGGTTGTCATATTATAGCTACAGGCTACATGAATAACATGATGTACTCGTGATACTAGATATAATTGTACAAGCACAAAATGATTGAACAATTTGCTTTAACATTGCTATTTCCGCGACAAAATATCAAATATCGTACTTAACACATTCTCACGTATCACTATTGACGAAATTAGCTTTTAGGCTACAAAACAAAGAATTGAATTGCATTTTGAACAAGTGTGTATGTTTAACACAGCTAATAAATAAACAACTTTGCGAGGCAAAATTTGAGGGCTAAGCTTAGATAATTTAAAGGGACCTACTATGCACTCCTTTATCCAAAATCAAACTATATCTGCCTCGGTAGACTAGTAGCTAGCATGTACGGCCGTAGATCCGGAGGTCCTGGGTTCGAGTTCAGGCCAAATTCATTTATTGAGTATTTCTGTCAAGAAATTCACAGTAACAGCCTGCAGTCGGTAAGTGTGCTGTGTTTCACCCCCGTGCGTCGGAGAGCACATAAAGCCATCGGCCCTAAGCCTTTAACTCTCACTGGTCATGTCGAATAGTCACTATTATAGTCGCCCCACCGGAGTATGAGAGTGCACTTATGTTAGCGCGCATTTTTTTGCACTATAATATCTCCTGCACAGATGGCTAGTCTCAATGAGATTGGCCGCCGTGGCCGGAGTCGGTCGGGAGGCCATTATTAAACCAAAATCAGATCAGCATAATCTCATTGTTATCAAAATATTGTATAATCAAAATAACGTAAGTTATAACCGACTTCCTAGATTTTATTTAAAAGACATAGATTTAAAAAAAACTACACAAAAATATAGAACTATAATAATTTTAAGCATAAATATTAAATAATAATTAATGTGTGATGTGATGATATATTATATAGAAATGAGAACTTGTAATTAATACTTTTCAATTAACGCGTATTTTTACAAATTTCTATTTTGTTTCAGATACCGATATGTCTGGATAAAACACTTGAAGAGTTGAAGGTAAATTTAATAGTCATATTAATATTACAGAAACTTTTATAACAATAATTACTGTTTTTAATTTGTACTGACCCAGTGGACATTTTATTGTTATCAATTGCCCAATGGACACTGCCTTCTGTATCACAGTTCGCAGATTTGATTATAAATGAGGAAATGTTTATTGTAGCGACCACAATATATTTGTCCCAGTTGCAAAGATTATACTGGCTTCTGACCAGATAACGCTGTGCAAACATACAATAATAATAATAAACCCTTTATTACACCCAAAAGGGAAGAAGAAAATATACAAAAATAGGAAAAACTACAACAAGTGGCCTTATCGCTAAAAGAACGATTTCTTCCAGGCAACCTTTAGGTGTAGGAAATAGTACTAAGATAGAAGAGATGCGATTATTAAATAAAGAAATTAGAAAATGTATATAATATGTATTTATAAATATAATGATATGTATCATACAACTATCTTCTTCTTCCTGCCCATTTCCCGATCACTCGGGGTCGGCGCAGTACATCTTCTGTACTGCTGATAAGATTTGGAAAAAGTTTTACGACCGGCCGCCTGCCTGACGTCAACCCTCCTTGGGAATGCTATTGTCTCTCTTTGTCTGAATGGTGTCGCGGAAGTCTTATAGTATGCACTTTCGATTTTGTCGTCTTTTAAAACATTTTTTATACTATTACTTAAATTTTTAATGTTATTTTCGGATATATTTTAAAATAAATTTTGATTACACAATAAATTTTGTATTGACGTTGTCAATTTTTTTCGAAAACAAAATACAACAAAATACATACAACTATATGTGTATATAAAATACATAATAAATATAAAAAATATAACTAACCAATAATATAAATAAATATATTATAAAATTAAAAAACCCGACTGCATAAAAGCTTATTGAAAAGATGAAAACAAGTTCACGAAGGAATTTATAAATATTTTTAAGTAGTAAAATTAGCGAGAATGGTTGTTAACCAACTTTAAATCATTATACATATATGCTAAACTGTTATTCAAAATGAAAAATGACGAAAGAAACCTAAAAATGTTTTTTAAATGCCTATTCAACGATACCCCACTTGAGACGTTGTAGGGGGTAACTTTGGATCTATTGAACCGATTTAGATGTTTGGTAAGAAGGTAGTTTAAAACCCTGGTAAGGACATAGGATACTTTTTATCCCGGAAATCATCCTTTAAGAGGGTGAAAATGAGGATGAAAGTTTGTATGGGGAATTAACCTAGGGACGAGCGCGAGCGAAGCGAGGGTGAGTCGCTAGTATATAAATAAATATAAAAGGCAACATTTATTAAGAATTTTACTTAAATTTATAAAGATATTTATTTATCCAATATTACATTAGAGACGTAGTAAAAACAGAAACACAAGGCAGCGTTTTATTTGCTCCTGAAGATCTAATTTTTTTTTTTTAGATTTAGCTTCAGATAGGTATGGAAAGTTTTTTCATATTTGCTCAGAGCAGATATACTTCTTATTTATGGCCTTCGCAAACGGCCAGGATTCTACCGTATGTTTTATTTCTATCTAGACCACAGCCAGTAAACATGACCCTTGCTTAATATGAAAGCGCGTGGCACAGGGAGCTCATCTTATTGTATCTTTGAATATACTTAAACTATTGAAATGGAACTAGACTATATTTTTCATTTAGACGATTGCCTAAACTTTAAAGAAGGTTCATTTACAGGTGTTAGGCCGTTCTTGAGTTTCATGCTATTAAAAACATATTTTTTAGGATTCTATTAAGTAGAGTCAAAAGTCAAATATAAGTTTTTCAAAATGTATTTTAATTCCACTAGTATATTTATTACAATCTGGTAAATTTATTTTTATAAAATAAAAGGAATAATTTATAAGTATTTTAATTTATATGTACCTATAAACATCAAAAGAAAGTCTGCGAGGTCTTCGGTTTATTGACCTCAATATTTACTCCAGTACAAGGTGCAAATACAGAAATCAACTTAAACATCTTTGCATAGCAACACGTTGAGGCTGCGTGATACACAGGAGTAATCTTTGTTTTAAAATTATACAATCATAACGGAGATAACGTAATAAGATATAAATTAATTCATTGTTACTGTACAAAAAAATGACGCCCCGGCCGCGTCTTTCTGTCCTCCTGTCCTGTTCTGTACGCGATATAAACTCGAAAACTATTATTTGTTTAGTAGTTATTACAATATGTAAAAAAATTCTGAGGTAGGTTTAAAGGTATCTAATATATATTCACTTCAAATTTTTAATATTTAACCTGTATTCAGAACATCCGCGGCTAAAATAAAGTTTGCTAGTTTTCTGTTTCGTTAGTCTGATGTCACGCCCCAGCTACATTTAGTGACAAATTTGGTTATTGTTATTCATGTATTTTTACTTTTATATATTCTATTTACTTACTAAATTTGCAATTTCGGTTTAAAAATCATTAAATTCTTGTATCATTTGTAATCCTTTTGTATTCATTGTGAAATTATAATTGTTTGACCTTCATTTGAACAAAATGACGGACAAACGCTAATGAATAACTGAAAATACAGAATTCTATACCGTCGAAGATTAATGGACTTGTTTCATTTAAATATAATCACAACAATTCTTGTTAGAACTCTCACGATACTGACGCAATGCGTCTTGAAACCTAATTGATTTAGATTTCAAAAGGTCGCTATTTTTATTTATATATTATGTTATATGTTGGGACATTAACACACAGCACCATCTAGTTCCATGGTAAGCATAACACAAGCCTCGTGCTTGTGTTATGGATACCAGATAGTTGATACACTACACATATATAATTTTAAATACATACTTATTATAAATATAAACACCCATGACTGATACAAACATTCGTGCTCATCACACAAACCATGGATATAATCATTATTATATCTATGACACAAACGAATGCCCCCGCGGGAATCGAACCCTCGACCGCTGGCACAGCAAGTAGACTCACTACAAACTGAGCCAAACGTGTCGTCAATTTAATACCAGATTCCACAGTAAGTTATTGTAACTAGATACTTTATAAGTTCTAAGACTCTGTAAACTTCTTTTTTGAACGGAGTTAATACCTTACATACAATAACGACTTTATATACCAGGATAAGAAGTATTTACCTGTTATTCTCAAGTCTATAAACTAGATCTATTCAAAAATGTTGATCATCGGATCGCTTTATAAAGAAGGGAAAACCAGCACTTTCGAATTCATAATATGAGTAAAGATGTCGAAAAATGCCCACTGAGCAAATTAAGCACAGTAGATACTAAACAAGGTACCGTATTCAGATGAGTCACTTTGCTCTCGAAACCGGTCTGTCGATGAGTTTCGTGGATCCGTCTGCACCGAACAGGACCTGTATAGTGTACACGTAACCAAATCATACAAGTTTAAAAGCTTTAGATGCTGACATTTAAAAGAAGTTATAAATGTAGCAAAAAGCAAACTTCTTGTTAGAACTCTCAGGTACATATGTAAATTGCAATGCTTTACACCTAATATAACATTTAAAAAAGGTAACTAGCCGAATCTTTTATATATATTTTTTTTGACAATTCTTGAAATAAGCACCATCTATATCGATGGTACAGAGGCCGAATCTATAGTTTTTAGAATTTTTGTCTGTCTGTCTGTTACCGCATCACAGAAAAACCACTGGAGGGATTTTGATGAAATTTGGTATGGTGATAGCTGGTTATCCGGGTCAACATATACATAGGATACTTTTTACCGCGGAAAAATATCTCATTTTTGAGAATAAATACAAAAACTGCAACGTAGTAAGAGTATACTAATATGTAAAACCTAAGAATTTGGTTTTTGGTCATTTGAACGCGGGCGGAGCCGCGGGAAATGCTAGTATGTAACATAATATTTAATTTAATACAAAAGGATGATTCTATTTAATAATTGAGGAATGGATTCCAAAATCCCTTAGTATGCTGTATTGTCTACATACACACTAACTTTGATTGAGTTAATTATAACTTGGATGAAATTTCACAACTATTTACATTGTTTACTATCATATTTATAAGTAAGTTCTTTATAATTTGTGTAAGTACAACATTTTTGTTACGGTCATTTAATTTTATAAAATACTAGCATTGCCCGCGGCTTCGCCCGCGTTCATATGACCAAAAACCAAATTCTTAGGTTTTACATATTAGTATACTATTAAATTACAGTTTTTGAACTTTTTCCTTATAATAAAATTAGTAACTAAGCCGCGGTAAAAAGTATCCTATATGTTGACCCGGATAACCAGCTATTATCATACCAAATTCATCAAAATCCTTTTTAGAATTTTTTTGTCTGATGCGGTAACAGACAGACAGACAAATATTTTTAAAATATTGGATTCGGTCGATACATGGTTATGTCAACATAATACAATCTTGCAATAAGATTTTCCAAAAAATATTTAATGTACAGATTCGGCTCAGTTACAATTTTATTATATGTATAGATAATTTACTAGCAAAACCCGCGTTTTCGCTCGTGCTAAAACTACGTTAAAAAGTCATTGGCTTTATGCTATTAGTAATAATGTATGGAAATCTTTCCGATTTGATGACATTTACTACTACTAAAACTAGAGAACTACTAACTACTACTACTAAAGATTAAAGGGCTATCAATCATCAAATAGAATGATGATATATAGTGAATAGTCTTCCACGAACATTGGACTTTATAATGCAAAAAGAATTTTTCAAATCGAATTAGTAGTTACTGAGATTAGTGCCTAAAAACAAACAAACTCTGCCTCTTTATAATATTAGTAAAGATTATTATTACCTGCTTATTATTATTTTTTAGTTAGTACTTAATTAGAAACAGCTGCATGCCCATAAGCAACGTATATGGTTTGAAGAGGTTATTCAAAGTATTTGCATTTTTTAAGTGCCTACCCAGTTCTTAATTTTTTGTAATACGATCTTAAGTATATACTTAAAT